TCTCCTCTGTGCTAAGCAGAGTTGTAAATTTTGTCACATGCAAGTAAGATGTTTCTATTTTTGTCATTTTTCCTACTCCTCATCCATCCCCATTTCAAGCACCTATGATAAACGTGTGCTTTACTAACAAAAGCCTTGGTTTAGAGCAGTCCATCTTTCTCTGATGCAAGATTCATGCAGAGAAAATATGGCAGAATTAACACACACTGGTTTTTTAAACTTATCACTGTTTCCTGTCTTCTGAACAGAACTTCTATTTTGCCTCTTGCTTTCCATTTCCCCACAAAAATCTAAACTATTTTCCTACCCTCCCTCCTGTGCTCCCTCCTAAAATAATGACATTTCCAGAAATCAGAGTCATTTGATTTAAGATTCTCACAGTGAGCTGTGTTTCCTGTCAAATGGAGACCTTATGGTAGTGGAAGGTAAGAGGAGAATATGCACCAAGAGTCCTTGAAGTAGTGAAGGAATTAAGAACTTGGTATAACCTGGAAGAGATGAAAGTGGTTAGGGCAAACAAACAACCCAATTCAGGAAGCCCCCAACAACAAAATCCCCTCGCAGACGCAATGCTCCATGATGAAAGCCGTTGTTCTTAAAGTCAGGGGTCCACCATACCTGCTTCCAGTCACCATAATGGTATAGCTGATGCCTATTATATCAATTGTAGATTTCCACCACAATGACTCAAACAGGATGCATTCTGGGATGAGATTGGGTGACTAGATTTAGGGAATCTTAATCAACAACAAATGGAGGGGAGGGAGGTGGAATGGAAGGGAGAAGAAGAGAGAAAGAAATAGAGGATAGGAGGAGAAAGGGAAGGAGGAAGAGAGAGGAGAGAAGAAGGAGGAGAAGGAGGAGGGAGGAAAAGGAAAGATGGGAGGGCAAAAATAAATTTAAAATAAGAGAGAATGAGGGAAGGAGAGAAGGAGGGAAGGGAATAGATGGATAAAATGGATAGATGGAGGGAGAGAGAAAGGAAGGGAGGGGGAGGGAGGGAGAGAGGAAGGGAGGGAGGGAGGGAGAGAGGGAGGGAAGGAGGGAGATGAACAAACTGACAAGGGAAAAGAAGAGAGATACTGGAAACAAGCAAGCTTCTAAAATCATTTTTGAGGCCAGAAGAGAGGGTGCTTAGAGTGGGAGCCCTGAAGTCAGGGACTCCGGAGTTTGCACCCTGGCTCTCATCACTAACTCTCTAAGCTCCACTTTCTTCTTATATCAGTAGCTTGTCCAAGGTCAAGCTAGAAACTTGATGAGGGGTAAGATTCAACTGAAGAGAGAGAGAGGAGGAGAGGAAGGAGAAAGAAACCCAGCACTGATAAAAGCATGCCCCTTAAACAACACAAAATACTAGAAAAAAGAACAAATCATTATTCATAAAATATATAAATATACAAGTGAAACTGGAAAACCCAAGAGGATAAACTGAATAAACAAAAACACACCCTAAGAAACTTAAATAAAGTGGCTTGCTATAAATAAAAAATAACTTTCCAAAATATAAACAATAATCACAGAACTGATTATGAAAACAATATGCTACCGAGTATATAAATAGAAGCATCAAAAACATATAAAATATCTAGGAGTAATCTCAATAAGAAGTGTGCAGAGCCCTGGCCAGCATTGCTCAGTAGTTAGAGCATTAGCCTGAACACAAAAGGGTCTTGGTTTTTTTCCCAGTCAAGACACAATCTGGGTTGCCACTTTGCTTCCTGACCCCTGGGAGTGGAGGTGCATGCAGGAGGCAGCAGGTCAATGTGTCTCTCGCACATCAATGTTTCTCTCCTCCTCTCCTCCCTCCATTCCACACTCTCAAAAAAAATCCATGGAAAAAAATATCCTCGGGTGAGGATTAAAAACAAACAAACATGTCTGACCTACTGTAGCTATCGCAGTCTCCCACCATCCCGTGAAGGGTGCATGGCACCTGCGGGGCCCGCCGCCTCCCCGGGGGGGACTGTCACTCATGCAACACGCCCGGCGCTCAGAGGCTCCCGGTTTCGGTCCGCAGTGAGCACCCCCCCCGACCCCGTGCACGCCTGTCCCCACGTGCACCGCAGAGGAGAGAGTCCTGGGAGCGGCTTCCTACGTCAGGGACGCGCACGCCTGTCTCCGATAGGTCACGTCAGTCTTTCAGGGAAAAGCTGTGCCACTGGCCGACGGGTTCGTTGTGCGTGAGCTCAGGGCAGGCTCTGGGCACACCCCCTGCGCCCTGAGAGGCCACACTGCGCCTCGGATACAATGAGAACCAAGCCTGTGTTCCGGGTTCCCGCCCTGGGTGTCAGGGAGACACCCGCGTGTGGCTGAGCAGAGCTCACCCTGTGGGAGAGCACTGACCACCAGGGGGCAGCTCCTGTGCTGAGTGTCTGCTCCCTGGTGGTCAGTGTGCATCATAGCGACCGGTTGTTCCCAGTCGTTCCACTGTTAGGGTCAATTTGCATATTACCTTTTATTATGTAGGCTATCAATCAACAAAAATATCAACAAGAATCATTTGAACTTGAAAAGCAATCTCAAATGTACCAAAGAGAAAAATATGAAAGGATGGCAAAAAATATATATATTATAACAAAGGAACAGTGAATGGCTTTAGGAGATATTAAAATTTACTATAAAGCTACAGTCATTGAGACAGTGTGGCTGTAGAATAGAACTAAAGAGACAAAGCTTTGGAAGAAAAAAGGGACTTCCAAAAATAGACACACACATTGGATTATCTAGCATGGGTGAACTTGGCATTTCAGATCACTGGAGGAAGGGAAGTGTTTGGTTTTTGTGAATAATGATGTTAGAACAAATAGGAAAAATATGTAATCCCTACCTAATTATACAACAATAAATCACAGATAGAGATCTAAAATTTAAATGTCAAAAGTTAAATCATAAAAATATCAGATAAAAATATTTTTGGCCATGGGAATTATGACACAAAGGTTCAAAAGCCATCAAGGAAAAAACTGATGAAGTTGATTGCCTGGTTATTTATAGTCTTTACAGAAAAAAAAAATATTTTAACATAAACATAAGCAAAGTAAAAGACAAACTGGGGAAAATATTTGCCACAGATATGACACAAAAAAACCCACCCACAACTACATTCCTTTAACAAACATAGGACACTTTGGACATCAAAAAAGAAGAGAGGCCCGGCTGGCCAATGTGGCTCAGAGGTTGAGTGTCATCCTATGAACAATGAACCAGGAGGTCGCAATTCAATTCCCAGTCAGGGCACATGCCCAGGTTGCAGGCTTGGTCCCGGTGGGGGGTGTGCAGGAGGCAGCTGATCAGTGAGTCTCTCTCATCATTAATGTTTCAAACTCTCTCTCCCTCTCCCTTCTTCTCTAAAATCAATAAAAATATATTTTAAAAAAAAAAGAAGAGAGGAACAACTCAAGAAAGTAGACAAAGACATGGAAGTGTCCTTCATGGGAGAGGAAATCCTCAGGAATAAACAAGTAAAATAAAGTTCAATCTCACCAGTCATTAAAGTTATCATTTTTCACCTATATACTTGCAAAACATTTTAAAATCAATAATACTCAGCACTGGAAAAGCCAACAGGCTCTTGGTCACAATGAAGATGACTTCAGTTGGAAGACAATCTGTAAATATCAACCTAAAATTAAACATGTTGCCTCATGACCCAGAAATGTTCTCTTTAGGAAGGTTTCCTGTGGAGACAATAGCAGAAGAAGAAAAACATATTTCTAGGATGTTTGTTAAGTCATCCTTGTTTTTCTTTAAAAAAAATAAAAGAAAAACACAATGTTCAACCCTAAAATGGAATTTTCTATTCTCTCCATCTTTTTTGAGATAGTATTGCTTTGTGCTATGCATCCTAAAATGAGATAGCTACTGACAGATATGTTGTGGGTGGAAAAAGAAGGATGTTGTTAAAAACAATTTTTAATATGATTTCATTATTACTTATTAAATATGTGTTATTTGTTAATATATAACAAATTACTCCAAAAGTCAGCAGCTCCAACCAAGGCCTATTTTCTCACATAGTTTCTGAGGGTCAGGATGTCTCAGCTGGACGGCTCTGCCTCAGGGGCTCCCATGAAGTTGCAGACAAGCTGTGAGCTGAGGCTGCAGTCACCTAAAGCCGGAGGATCCCCTTGCCAGTTCACCTGCTTGGTTGTCTGTGGTCTTGAATCCTCGCTGACTGCTGACCATACACCTCAATTCCTTACCACATGTACCTTACCTCAGTTCCCTAAACTGCCTAAGGGTCCTCACAACATAGCAGCTGACTTCACTCGGAGCAAGGGATCCAATAGAGCGAGAGAAAGAGAGCACCCCAAATGGAAGCCACGGTCTCTATAACCTAATCTCAGAAGTGAGGTGCCATCACTTCTGCAGTGTTCCATTCTATTCTAGAAGTAAGTCACTGAATCCTGCCTACACTCAAAGGGACGGATAACACATGGATACAGGAGATGGGGATTGCTCAGAAACATTTCAGAGGCTATCACCATAAAATATATATCTATATATATAAAAGGCTAATATGCAAAATGTCCCCTCAGGAGTTCAACCAGGAGAACGGGAGTTCAATCTCTCGCTATGACGTGCACTGACCACCAGGGGCAGCACGGAACAAAGTAAGGCCCCGATCAGCCCCAATGGCCAGCCAGGCCTAGCGACCCTTCCCGTGCCTGAATTTCATGCACTGGGACTCCAGTAGATCATAAAGAAAGAGTATATCTAGATGTTTCTAGATGTAAATATAAAAACTCACATACAGCAAGAGGATTATACATCCCAGTTTGTTTGAAATAATCCTGGTTAATGCCTGGTGCCTTGGAGTCATGATAGTATTTCACTTCATGTATCCCAGTTTAGATAATAAATTATACTCTGAATAGGAAAATGTCTGAAAGCATACACACCAAAACATTAACATCGTTTACCTCTAAGAGATAAGATTGAGAAGACTTATATTTGCTTAATACACACTTGCATAAAGTTTTAACATTTACAATAAATTAATGCCTGGTGCCTTGGAGTCATGATAGTATTTCACTTCATGTATCCCAGTTTAGATAATAAATTATACTCTGAATAGGAAAATGTCTGAAAGCATACACACCAAAACATTAACATCGTTTACCTCTAAGAGATAAGATTGAGAAGACTTATATTTGCTTAATACACACTTGCATAAAGTTTTAACATTTACAATAAAAATGCATTACCTTAATAAAGAATTTTTTTAAAAAGCAGAAATTATACGTTAGATGTCCAGATTATCTTTCAGGATAACTCAAATATTATCACATGAATTCCATTCCAGAGACAGTAACTGACCACAAAAGAAAAGCCCCCAGGATGTCAGCAGTGGAGAGAAGAGAAAGAGTAAGTTCCCTTTTCAAGTAACAGTAAAAGTCTCCCACAGTTGGCTGTTCCACTCCTGTTTCTCACAGCTGCACACGTTTCAGTTTTCCTGACCGTAGCACAGTTGTATCATTTCTTGGCATCCATCTCACAAATGTAAAGGGGAATTCAGCAAGTGAATTATGACAGCTAGATAAGAGAGAGAAAACTAAAACGAAAACTAAACCAACCACTGGGATGAATCAGAGATGTTAGGCAGAAAGAGAAGAGGCAGCCTTCTCGTGACTTGAGCTCACAGCTCTATTTGTAGGATCCTAAAAACAGCCTTGGATATTAACAATAGTGAAATGCAGCAAGTGTTAATTCACCTTCCCAGACTGAAATTTCACCATGTAAGATCATCTCCTTAGACTGCAGCATAAGGAGGCATCAGGCTGTAACTTGAAGCCCTGAATGCCAATGTTGGTCTTACTGCAAAGGAGCAGTCCAGCATAGTAAGGAGCCTAGAGCCCTAAATCCCATGAGCCTTAGAGCCAGAGAGACCATTTCCTAACGGCATAGCCCTGAGCAAGGTCCTTGAAGCTCTTTTTGTTTCAGTTTCCTATCAATAAAATAGAACTATCTTAGTCTTTCATCAAATGGTGCTGGAACAAATGGATATCCATACACACAAAATAAATCTAGGCACCAACTTTACACCCTTCACAAAAATGATCTCAAATGGATCATAGGCCTAAATGTAAAATTCAAAACTATAAAAGTCCTAGAAGATAGCATAAGGAGAAAACTTAGATGGCTTTTAAGTATGACTCTTCGTTGCTCTTGTTTTTAATCCTTGCTCGAGGATATTCTTTTTCCATTGATTTTTAGACAGAATAGAAGGAAGGGGGGGGGAGGGGGAGAGGGAGAGGGAGAGGAAGAGGGAGAGGGAGAGGGAGAGAGAGAGAGATCTATGTGAGATACATGATTGGTTGCCTCCCGCACATGCCCTAACCAGGTAATATACCCTTGAGTGGGAATCGAATCTGCAACCTTTGGTGTGAGGGCCGATGCTTTAACCGCTGAGCGACACAGGACAGAGCTAAGTATGACTTTTTAGATACAACATCAAAGGCACAATCCATGAAAGAAATAATTCTCCAAAGTATGTAAAGAACTCTTAAAATTTAATAAGAAAACAACCCAATTTAAACATGGGAAAAAACTGAACTGATAGATATAAAGAATAGATTGGTGATTGTCAGAGGTGGGGGGGTGGGAGATAATATGGGTGAAGGTGGTAAAAAGTTACAAACATCCAGTATTAAAATAAGTAAGTCCTGGGGATATAATATACAGAATGATGACCGCTCTTAGAGGACATGGACAGCCTGTCACTGTTCACCTGAGTAGCTTCAATCACCAAGAGAAAGGACTGGGAATAGTCAGGTCCTCTCTGCCCAGGGGGGAAGAAGCAGCTGCATCTGGGCTCTACATCCCAGAATGCCCTCCACAAGTCCACTCAGAGCTGCTGGGGGTTCAGGTGGTGCCGAAGCAAACAGACCCAAGAGTGTTCATTGTGCTCTAAAATAAAAAAAAAAAAAAAACTGAGCTAAACCCCAGAATAAGACTGTCCCAAAGTGAAGGTGGATGCAAACTGACAGCATTTGCAAAGTTGATCAGAGATCCTTTAGAGCAGTGGTTCCCAACCTTTTTTTGTCCAGGCCCCACCTAAGCATCTCTAAAATCCTGATGCCCCCCCAACCCCACCTTTTTTGGCCGTGCCCCACCTAATCATCTCTAAAATCCTGATGCGACCCCCCGCCCCCGTGACATATAATTCTTACTATTCAAAAAGTAAACTCCTATTCACATAGAGGAAGCCTAAAAGGCCATTAACATGGTTTAAACAAGCTTCCAAAGAACATGGCATCCATGAAAGAGAAAAATAAAAGAATGAAAGGACAGGTGACGTACTAAGGAAGAAATCACCAAGAAATTGTTAAAAAAAATAATAATAATAATATGAAGTGATATGAAAAAATAGCAAATAAAGTTTCAAAACATATAATAGAGAACTGAAATGCATAAATATGTCACAATATATATTTACATACTGTATATGAGGCCCCGAGAACCATAAGAAATGCAAAAAATTCACTGTTAATAACTCATTCTTGAATTGCCCCCCTTAAAAATCAAATTGCCCCCCTGTGGGGAGTGTGCCCCTCGTTGGGAGCCACTGGTTTAGAGTCAGAAAACTGGAGCAGAGGTGGGGACGGGAGGTAGACTGACAAGGCATGGTTGGAGCAGTAACTAGGAAACATTAAGATGCCTTGGTGTCTTTACCCCAATCCGCAATGTCCATGACCTGTTTCCCGCCCCTCCCCTTCCTGGTGAGCTCCTGCTCCTTCTCTTTGCTGTGTTATGGCAGGTGGGCTGGTCGAGTGGAGGCCTGTTGCTTACAAAGTCAGCAATCCCCATCCAAGCTGGCCTGCCTTTGGTCTCTTTTATTTTACTGGTAATTGAGCTTTGCTTTCCCCCATGGACTCATGTAACTTTTACCAGTGTTTTAAAGGGCTTTTCTCTTTAACAGTTCCCATGTTGCATAGGTTAACCAGAGTCTAAAGACATTACCCCACTGAACTGCACAAAGGCCTCCACCTCACAGTCACGATGTAGGCCAAACACGGGAAGGATCAGAGACACTCGGGGACTCTCAGGACTGTAACAAACGCACACGTACACAGCTAAATCCTGAAACTGAAGATAAACTCTGGCTTGTTTTTCCTCCATAAAAAGGAGTGGAGAGGCTTTTTGGAGACTATTGCAGCCCCTATAAATAATGTGTGCCGTGTGCTTACATTTTCTGTGAGGGAAGGGCATGTCCTCCTGGCCAACAGCACCTAGCAACAGGCCTGGCACACAGAAGGCACTGAACAGAATGAATGGAGGGGTGAATAAATGAATGGGGAGTGAATATGTATAGCATGGAGTCTTAATATGAGGCAATAAATGAAACTACCCCTGAAAGGTGTTCAGACAGCTGTCTACAGGCCTTTCAGACAATCTAATGATTGTATTCATATAGCAAATACTTATTAAACACTTAATAAGACTGTGATGAGGGATCTAAAGCAGATGCAAGGGCGGAGAGGGACACAAACCAACCCAACAAACTATCATCATGGGATTTTTGTGCCTTTACCGCACCTCACCCTCCACCTAGGTGGTTACAATCTGCTCCAGACTCAAGCCCAAGACTTTTAATTACATAAAATAGGAAAATAACTCTTTTTTAAAAAAAAAATGTTTTTATTGATTTCAGAGAGGAAGGGAGAGGGAGAGAGAGAGAGAGAGAAACATCAATGATGAGAAAAAAAATCACTGATCGGCTGCCTCTTGCACGCCCCCCACTGGAGTTCGAGCCCACAACCCAGGCACATGCCTGTGACAGGAATGGAACCAGGGACCCTTATGTCCATAGGCCAACACTCTATCCCCTGAATCAAACCAGCTAGGGAAGGAAAATAACAGACACTCTATCCACTGAGTCAAACCAGTTAGGGCAGGAAAATAACTCTTAAAATAACAGGGTCAGAAAATACAATTGTTTTATTTAAGATAGTTTTCTTTTTCCTTGAAATGTCTACCATATGATGAAGCCAAAGTTCTGTTTTCTTTTTTTTAAATTACAGTTTTATTTACTTACTGAAGTCCTAGAAAAATGATGCAATGGTCCCATAAAGGCATTGCTTCTTAAATGTAGATCAAACAGTGCACTAGGTAAATTCCTCATAGCTGGGTCTCCTCCATGCTCAGTGAGGGCGGCTGCCACTGTACATACCCAGCTGTATGGGAATCTTTCTCAGTTGCTTTGGCCTCTTGAAAATTCCCTAAGGGAAATTCCACCACATAATGTTAACAATCATTGTATGTCTGCTTTGTATGCAATAATCACTATTCACACTGAAATAGAGGAACCTCAAATCTGCCCTGAGCCAAAGTCAAAGATTTTCTATAACAACCAAAGAAACCAGATGTAAGCATTGATTGGGACATCAACCTATGAAGCAGGAGGTCACAGTTCGGTTCCCAGTCAGGGAACATGCCTGAGCTGTGGGCTCTATTCCCAATAAGGGGTGTGCGGGAGGCAGCCAATCAATGATTCTCTCTCATCGTTGATGTTTCTATCTCCCTTCCTCTCTGAAATCAATAAAAAATATATTTTTAAAAAGAAACTAATTTTAGAAGTTTATACTAAGAAAATAAACAGAAACATTTAAGATGTATACACAAAGATGTTCGTCTCACCATCATTTATAAAGGTGCGAGATTACAATAATATGACTAGCCAATAACAGTGGATTAGTTAAATAAATTATTAACTATCCCAACAAAGGAAAATCTTGCAGCCATTAAAAAAAATATTTTGTAGATATACATATATTGTTACCAGAAAAATATTCACAATGTACTGCTGAACTCATTATATTTTTGTTTTATACATACACACAGAGGCATGGAATGGTCTCTAGGTGATTAAATGTCAGTCCTTTTTACAAATGAAAACAGAATTGCACTTATTTAAATGCCCACTTTGAGAAAGTAAAACTCTTTTAAGAGGCTATTTGATTGCCCATGTCCAGTATTTACCAAATACATTGGAGAAATTTTTCAATAAAAAAAATCTAACGTGCAAATTTCAATATCCTTTTTAAGGATCTTTTTGAAAAAAGTTATTTGTTCCAATATAACAACATTTTTAAAACTCACTGTAAATATTTGTTTTTCTAAAATGAAAACCATAAAGCTATTTTATCACAAACTTAAAAGTTAAAAATGACTTAACTATATGAGAAAATGTTAAAGATATAACGGTGAATGGATAAAAGTGGATAAAAAACTAAATACACAAAATACACACAATTTAGTAATACATGCATATGCAAACAAAACTGCACAAAAGGAAGTGTTCAGAATGAATACTGCTGAGGGCTGAAATTATGAATGGTTTTTCTCCTTTTTACTACATTTAAAATTTTTCTACAGTTAGTATCTATTACCTCCCAAATCAGACAAATAATAAACACTATAAACATTTTAAATAAGCACAGGGAACACAAAATCATGTATATATTTGTTGTGTCAATAACTGAAACAGACAGTTTTTTGAAAAAGTGCCTTCTCATTACACTCACTTGGAAATCTCTGGTAGTGCACTCTGTTACTTAAGCCCTGAATAATGGAGAACGTGTAGCTCTGAATTCATTTCAGCTTCTCTCTGACACCTAATTAAAGGAGTGACACAGCTCTTCTGGTCTTGGCTACTTCCCCTTGACACAATGCTATAGCTACAAGACAGTCCAACAGAAAGGGAAAAAAATCAATAGCTTCGAAACTCAGCATAATTATCCGAAACAGGCAAACTATAAACCTTGGAATGTAGACTACCTCACTCCATTTCTTACTGCCTTAATTAATGACACTAGACCAGACTGGAAATGTTATAAAATCAGGAACCATGTCCTACTTTCATCACTGTATCCCAGCACCTAGCTGGCACATAATAGGCATAGTAAATCTGGACGAATGAATGAACGAATAGGTGATTTATGGCTGGGCTCTGCTATCTTCCTTAAAATTCTGCTGGTCATTTTATAACATCCTTAGTGCTACCACTGTGGAAGAAGACGGTGTGTCATAAGGTCACGTTTCATGGTCACATGTTCCATTACTGAAGGTACAAATAATAGGCATAGGATACATCCAGGAAGCAGCTTTGCTCATCATTACGGCTTAATAATTGGAAATTATTCAGCACCTAATCCTCTGAAGGTAAGTCATGCTACCCACAGCTAAGGCTCAGAAAGGCCAAGTAAATTTTTCAAGGTCACAAAGTTAACAAATGACAGAACCAGGATCAAAACCTGATTCTCTGAGGCTCCAAAGTCCAGACTCTGTTTAGGGGGGAGAAGCATCCTGTCATCTCACCCCGTCAGGTGCAGATGGCTGTGGGTTCTACGCTAATTATCTCACTTAATTCTCATCATAACCCTCTGAAGTGGGTTAGCATAGTATACCATTTTTCAGGCGACAAAATGAAACAGAGGCTAAGCAGCTTGCCCAAGGCCACACAGCTCCCAATAGAGCCAAAATGGAATGACAAACTGAAAAGAATTCTTAATGAATATCTATCACCTCCATCAGAAGGGATTGCACTCATGATATATAGTCAGCACCACTTCCAAGATGACTCACAACTCTATCAAAAGACAAACTGGCCATACTCTACACTAACATAAATAATTGTTCAATTGATCCAACTAGCTTCCTAAACCCTCCTCCTCCTCTCCAAAATGAAGAGTAATAAGCACCCAAATTGCAAAACACCACTCCCATTTGTAAAGCAAAGGACAGAAGTACAGATATATCTAAATATTTTAGTTACAATCAAGTCAACAAATAAAAAATGTGTTCCATCCCCCTATCCTTTTCCCTGGCCAAATATACCTGCATAAACAACCTGGAATGCCAAATTCATATCTAGGCTTCTCAGATTCCAGGACGTTTGGTACTAGACATGGTAACACAGAGAGAGAACGCCCCCAAGTGTGCATGTGACTCCCCAGTCCCATATGGAAATTCCTTCCACAGCCTTCATTTCCCACAAAGAGCCATTCCTTGGCCATCCCTTGAGCCTAGGAGTGCTCACAGCAGCGGGGCAAGCCACACTCAGGGTGAAGGATGGGGAAATGCCTCGTGCAGGCAGGCAGGTTTGGGTCATTTGGGCAGGGAATTCCAGGGTCAACAAAGGCCTCACTGACACCTTGCCCTCTTAAGAAGTGGGGAGACCACAGGAGCAGCAGAGTGAGGCCCCAAAAAACTAGAGCACAGAGCATGGGCTCCTCTTGCCAGGGTTTGATGAGAACCCTCCCCAGCTGCCACACAAGCTCTCAATAGAGACAGCTGCTTAGAGTAAATCTCTCTAAATGCATTCCCTCTCCCTACCCGTCCCTAACCAAGACCTGGCCATCTATCAAAGTACAATTCATTCACTCCCCTTCCAGTAGTCCAAGCATTTATAGTTTGTAGTCTCTAATTTTGTCTTTTAATTGCATGATAGTTTCTGGGTTTTTAAAATCCTTTCAACTGGGTTGTTTTGTTTCTCTAAAGCAGTGGTTCTCAGCCAGGGGCAATTTTGCCCCCCAGGAGACATTTTGCTAATCCTGGAGACATTTATGGTTATTTCATTTAGTGGACAGGGGGCTTGGATGTTACCAAACATTTTACAATGTACAGAACCGCCCTTCACAATGAATTACGCAGCCTAAAATGGTAGTAGTACTGAGACTTAACAGTGCAGAGACTAGGAAATGCTGCTCTAAAGAACTCTTAGGGCCCAGCCAGCGTGGCTCAGTGGTTGAGCGTTGACCTATGAACCAGGAGATCACATTTTAATTCCTGGTCAGGGCACCTGCCTGGGTTGCAGGCTTGATCCCCAGTGTGAGGTGTACAGCAGGCAGCCAGTCAATGATTCTCTCTCATTATTGATGTTTCTATCTCTCTCTGTCCCTCTCCCTTTCTCTCTGAAGTCAATAAAAATATGTTTTAAAAAAACTCTTAGAGAGAGAGGATGCCATTTACTCCTTTGATCCCCACATGGCCAAGTTGAGTGTTGGACCTCACTAAGTATTTGTTGCCTGACTGACTAGCGATCTGGTCCCAAACCTTCCTAAAACGTTCACGACGCAGCTCTCAATAAATCTGGGAATGCAAGTCTGAATGAATCAGCAGAAAAGGATGGCAAACTAGTACTTTTGATACCGCGTGAAAATGCATCTGTCACTAGCAGATATTCAATATTTGTATATTTTTCTGTTCATTATTTCTCCCTTCATTAGCCAATAAATTTCAAGAAAGTAAGAATTAAGTTCACTATTATAGTTCCAGTATCTTCTACAGTAAAAGTGGTAGACACACAGGAGTAAAGGATGCTGCCTGGAGGAGAGATAACATGGATTAAGCTCTAATTATGTGCCAGAAACAGTTCTAAGCATTTTCAACACATTATCTATTCTAATGTGCACAGAAATCCTAAAAGAAGCCACATTTTACAGACCAGAAAATGGACAATGAAAGGCTGACTGGCTAAAGAACACAGCCCGTGGTGGAATCAGGATTTCAGCACAGCTAACTTCGGATCCTTTGCTCTTAACCTCTACACTGCATGGTCAAAAACTGAGTAATAACTGGCTAGGTGAAGAGCAGGAGATGTGGCCTTGAAGGAAAACATTCCAGGCAGAGGGAATGACATGAGAAAAACCAACGCAATCTGGCTTATTTCAGGAGATATAACCCTTAACTGCTGAAAGATAATGCTGGAGAAGTAATCATGGCCAGATCATAAGGGATATATATATTCTATAGAGCAATGTTTCCTTTAACCAAAATTATCAGTGAAGGAACATAGGCTTTAAATCAAATAGTTCTGGGTTAGAAAGCCAACCCCATCATTTTGTTAAAGGATCTCACTGAGCCTCAATTTCCTTACCTGTAAAACAAAGAACATACAAATATCTATGTTATTAAGCAGCTGTGGGAACAAAAAATAACAAATATAAGAACTAAGAACCAGGCCTGGTGCATTTTGTGTCCAATAAATATTAATGACTTGTTTTTGTCATTGTGGTTGCTGTTAATGAAGTTTTTCACATTTGTAAATCTGCAACACAATTGAAGCTTATTTTCTCAAGCACCACAACTTATTAAACCATCCTTTTCCTTAACTAATTTTAAAGTGAATTTCTATATAATAAAAGGGTAATAAGCAAATCGACCAAATGGCGGAACGACCGGTCGCTATGATGCAGGGGGGGGGGGGGGGGGGGGGGCAGACACTCAAGGAAGGGGCTGCCCCCTGGTGGTCAGTGCGCTCCCAGAGGAGGAGCACCACTGTAGTGGTGGTGAGAGCCTCTCCCGCCCCCACGGCAGCGCTAAGGATGTCCACCTGACAGTGGGGAGCGGGCCTAAGCCATCAGTCGGACATCCCCCGAGGGCTCTCAGACTGCAAGAGGGTGCAGGCCGGACTGAGCCCCCCGGCCCCCAGTGCACAAATCTTGTGCACCGGGCCTCTAGTAGTTAATAACACAGTATTGCATATTTGAAAGTTGCAAAGAGAGTAATATATAATATGTATCACTGCACCTACATTTCATCCCCTCTATAATGCCTCTGTGCCCACCAGGGCAACTGTGAAAATACCTGAAGCTTCTGATATCCATAGATTCAAAAATAGGGACAGAAAAGAAGCCACATAAATCTAGAACTGTTTGCACTAGTGTTTCATTCAGAATATGGGAAAAGAAAGAAAAACACTGCTGCTCAGAGTAATGGTTACCACCCAGTAAATAGACAGGATATTCAAAGTACTTTGGTGTGTTACCCTTGTCCCAAACCAACCAATAACACTGGCATACCAGTGTCTTTGGATACTTGATGTTTGTTCATTTCTTTTTTTTTTTTATGAAATCATGTATTTAATGGGTTATCATAGTGCCTAGTGTAAAGTAAGGGATTGGTCATTTTTTTTTTTACTTTTTTATTAAATTTATTGAGGTGAAATAGGTTTAAGGGCACAAATCTATATCATGTGTATATTGCACTGTGTGTTCACCACCCAAATTCAAATCTTCTGTTACCATATATTTGCCTGCCCCCCTTTACCCTGAGCCATACCTTAAGACCATTCAGAGATTTTGACCTGGCTTCCACCTACCTTCCAGTCTACATTATCTACTATAGTCTCTGTGGGCCACTTACTAACTTTGCATACAGGCTGCACACCAGGCTCTTCCACACCGTCTTGCTTTGGCCTTTGTTACTGTCTTTGCCAGGAGCATCCTTCTGCCCTCACTCCTACTACTACCCCATCTTACAGCCTTCAAGGCTTAGTACAAGCACCACCACCTCTGTGATTTCCCTCCTTCTGACAGAATGACATGCCATGATCCACAAACTAACCCAACACTTTGCTTGTGTTTCTATTCATACAACTACCTTATACTTAACAGAGGTATGTGGTGAGCATCATTCTAGGTACTTTCTGTATGCTATCATGTAATTTCATAAACTTGTATGAAATGATGACAAACCCCACTTTACACATGGGAAAACTGAAGCTCTGAGTTGAACTTACCAATGATCACACAACGAGAAAGGGATACATCCAGAATTCCAACCATTCTAACAGCTCCTTAATCCCTAAGTCTTTCGCTGGGCTTTGTTGCCTCTCTTTGATGGCCCTATTTCCAGTTGGTTAGTTAATTGTAAACAATATGCCTGTCCCATGGGACTACAGCAAATCCCTTGATGACAGGGACCAGGGCATATTCATCTATAAATGTATCCACTTATACAAGGTTCTTGGGAAAATTAAATGAGTCAATACACTTAAAGCACCCATAGTGCCATAATAATAATAAGAGCCAAATAATTTGTTGTGTGGTGGTTGTTACTATGACAGGTACTAAAAATAAAGCCTTGCACATAAATTCTGAACTGAGGTTTTCTTCTGAGAAGCAAATGAAATAGGTAAGGACCAGAAATGCCAAATGCCACTTTGGTTTGGCATTTCCCCACTACTTGACTACCCAATCCAAAGCAACAAGAGTCACATAGAAACTTTCTTAAGGATGTTAGGGAAATTCCCTATTTAGTTCAAAACTCTTGCAGCTTTGTTACTTTCTTGCTGCCCTCTACTATGAGATTTGTCAAGGTCCCCCTCTGAGAAGTCAGTACTTAACAAGTTGTGAGCTGGGGTATAAAATTTCAAATGCCCAAACAAGCGGGCACTTTGTTAGCTTCGGCCAGCTAATCTGCCCACTCGGACTATATCTGAGTGCATTTCTTTTTCTTGCAAATAAACTCTTGCATGCTTTGCTGCTATTTGGTACTGTCTCTTGTTTGAATTCCTTCCTACAAGCAAGACATGAACCAGGGGCACAGAGACCACCTCTAACATATTGGTGCCATGACTTGGTTTGGCAAATTGTAAGTCTTCTAGCCATGAGGCTGGAAAGAGGGCTATTTTGCTTTTTGCTTCTTATCCAGGATTGAGAGGGTGAGGCAGAAATTGCAGTTAATCAGGGAGAAATGACTGTGAGAGGGAAACAAAAGTAACTATGAGCGCCTGGTGATGAACTGGCACAAAGATAAGAGACACATCTTCCCATAGGTCTGCAAACCCTCAGGCAACTGAGGGTTTCTGTGTAGGTGTTGGAGGGTCTTCCTTGCAACAGGTAAGGGCCTAATAGGGACTTCAGAACACATTTGTAATTAAACTTTAACCTGCCCGTGGGGCACACGTAAGGGCTGGCCATCCAGCGCTCAGGGTCCTCATAGTGGTTCTAGACAGCCTGCAAGAGAAACTGAGACATATAAGAGGAGTGGGGACGGCCAATGGTTTCATGGCCTCTGGGAGCCCCCTCCACTAGCAGCACACTTTGACCCATTACAGGGAGCCCTGAGAACTCTGCTAGCAGTTATGACTTCCTCATACCCACATTCTCAGCATATTATTTTGGCCCATAGGAATTGCCATGAATTGATGTGCCTGGCCTATCCAACCCGCTCCTGCATCTACATTCTTGGGTCCCCCTATGTAGAAATTGTGTTATGGGTTTATGTTGCATCTGCCAAAGAGCTAGAAGGAAACATCACAGGACAGAGATGTTCAAAGGATTCTTCCCCCGAGAACACTAAATAGGTTACACTTTTAACATGTATTCTCGAGGGGAACCAAGATGGCGGTGTAGGCAAATGCCTGTACTCGCTGCCTCCCACAACCACATCAAAATTACAGTCAAAATACAGAACAACTATCATCCAGAACCGCTGGAAAGCTAGCTGAATGGAAGTACTACAACTAGAATACTAAAGAAGAAAGCATATTGAGACTGGTAGGAGGTGCTGAGGCACGAAAGGCTGGTCCAGCACCCACGTGTGTGGGGGAGCCACTTTTTTAATCGAGAGGGAGATCTCCTCTGAAGAGGCTGCCCAGAGGAGCAAGGGGTCCCAGCCCTACATCAGACACCCAGCCCAGGCTCCCAGAGCTGGGAAAAGAAGTCCCTATGGACTGTAAAAACCAGTGCGGATTGGGGCTAAGTGCTGGAGACCCAGCTGCTCCTCTTAAAAGGCCGGCACCACGAACTGAACTTACAAGCTCCCACTTCCTCTGAGTGCTCCCTCTGAGCTCCAGTGCCGGGCAAGACTCTGAGGGAGCCAGACACACAGGAGGAGAAACTGGACTGTCTGGCATCGGGGCAGGAACAGGGGGGTGGCTTTCTTCCAGACGGAGGTGCTTGCAGCGGTCTTTGTTCCCGTGCAGGAACCTCCTCGGTTGCAGGGCTGACTGGCCGCCATTTCTGTTTGCTCCGCACTGAGACCCCGCCCCACCCAATTTACAATCCCACCCAAGCTGTGCACAGCAGCTTTTGCAAATGAATGGCCTGTCCTTTCTCAGGCTAAAAACCTGTCAAACAAGGTGCAGCTGGGTCAGGGAGCCCCAAACCTATTAATAAAAGGCCCAAGACCCAGCACCAGCCTGCCTTGCTTCACAGCTGAGCCTCATTGGGTACTTCCAAACCCTATACAAAGAGGAGGAATCTGAAGAGCTCTCTGTGCTCCTGCTGGGTGGCCCCAGGCAGTAGCTGACTTGCACCTCCTTGGAGACTCAAGAGCCAGTGTACCCAGTGGTCAGTGTGAGACCATACCAGATTACAACTCTTTACATCCATAAGTGACACACTCAAGGGGCAGACTCAGTGAGCACCAAAGCCCCACTGAAG